AAGAAGAGTCAATTGAAATCAAAGGAGATGAAATTAAAAAGAATTAAAAAGAATCATTGGCTGTTCTCTTCTAATTACTGCGAAGTCAAAGAAACAAAATCAAAAGTCTGTTCGGAACATTTAGTATAAAAGTAGCTACCTATTCCTCTTAATTTGTTAGGACATAAAATGATCCAAGTGTATGTACAGATAGGTTTTGCAAGATTTAATCAGTAAATCAAAACTGAAACTTTGATCTATTTATATGATCAGAAACAGATCAGAAAATAGTTGTAAAAAACTATTTTCACTCAAACAGTTTATAAATAGATGTCGCCGAAGACTACTAATTTTGAACTTTCTTGTTCAATACTCAGAAACAACGGCAGGCAAAAAAGATTTGCAAATTTTTACTGTAAGTAGGATAGGAACTAAAGAGTGAGTTTTAAAAAAACTTTGTTCAAATTTATTCAGTAGAAATTGAGTTATATATGTTTTTGTCATCGGAATGTAACGATACAATGTCAACGCAATTCATGCATATTTATATAAGACTTTTAACATACCACTTCTTTTGGCTTATCACTAAAAACAGGTGCAACCTTTCGATCACCTGCTGCTGCTGCTGCTGCTGCTGGTGGTGCTGCAGTATCTTTTGCTTCATCTGAAGGAATTGATTTCGGTTTAGTCTTTTCCTGATCTTCTTCATCTTGCCTATAAAAAAATAATTGATAAAAAAGACAAGCAATATATAATGTAATAAATCATTATACGGTGGTGCGGCTTCAGTATCAACATGTAAATTAACTAATGCATGTGTATCTCCGGCATCATTCTTAGCTAAGATTTTATAAATACCACTATCAGATGATGTAGAATTCTAAATATAGAACAATAAATCATTATTGGATTTTCTTTGTTTTTTTGTTTTTTTCTATTAAGAAAATAACAAACTTACCAGAATATCAAGTGTACATAAATATGTATCATCAGCTTCCTTTTTTTTACTAATCTTATATTTATTTGGTGTATCTTTTATTTCAGTTTTAGCTTTTTTCCATGTTATTTTTGGTTCTTGTTTTCCTTTACAACGATATTCAATTTTAATTGATTTTTGTTTTGTATCTTTTGTAATTTTTGGTTTTTCAAGTGAAGGTGCTAATTTATCTAATTGCTCTAAATTAGCTTTATCACCTATTTACAAAAAATAAAAAATAAAAAAAAATAATTCTTATAAAAAATCTATTTTAATTATTAAATAAAATACCAGCAATTTTAATAGAAATATTAGCAACAGATGTACCAAGTTCATTTGATATTGTACATTTATAAAGACCACTATCCGATGACGCTAAATTCTGTACAGAAAACAAAAAAAATTTTAACTTATAAAAATAATAATAATAATAATAATAGTAATCGATTAACCTTGATTTCAAGAAAAATACTATATTTATTTCCACCTTTTCGATCCATACGTGTAATATATTTATCAACATTAAGTAAATCTTTTCCATCTTTAGTCCAATATATTGATGGACTTGGATCAGCAGCTATATCGATTTGAACAACAGCAGTTTTAGCATCTTGTTTAATGGTTGGTTTACCAAGAAATGAGGGTGCAAGACCATCCGGTAGTCTAAATAATAAGATTATAAAATGAAATATGAAAATCTTTTTTCTTTTTTTTTGTCTACAAACTTGAAATCAATTCCTTCAATGTTCAATTCAATACTTGCTGATCCATCACCTTTAGCATTTTTTGCTGTAGCTTTATATATTCCTGAATCTTTTTGTCCTACTTGACCAAATTCAAGAAAAATCTTATGTGTATTTCCTTCGGTTAAGATTCCTTGTTTATATTTTGTTCCGAGTACAATAGGTTTTCCACCAAGTGTCCATACAAAACTTGGCACTGGATCAGCTGTACATTGACATTCCAAAAGTACGGATTCTTCAAACATACGAACTTCAGGTGGTTTTGTAAATGTAGGTCGTCCACCAGTACCTTGATCTTCATCTAAATAAATATATGTTCATTATTTTTTTAACAATCAATGACTCATCGTATTGTTATTTCGATTAACTACACAACATTAAATCTTACAATGTTATAGATCATTTATACTACTATACCAATAGTAAATATTTATCTATATTGAATATGTGTACAAGAATGAAAATACTTACTCTCAAGATTTAAGGCAATATGTGCATTGCTTTCTCCTAATTTATTTTTTGCTAAAACTTTATATTTGCCACCATCTGATGCATTAACATCATCAATTTCGAGACAAGCAACATATGTATTATTTGGTAAAGCATCACAATAAATTAAATAACGACCAGAATTTTGTATTGATACATCATCACGTGACCAAAATAAATCTGGTTTAGGTTCAGCAGATATTTTACATTCAAATATTAAACGTTTTCCATCATTTTCTTGTCTTATAGTTGGTTTTTGAATAAATACTGGTGTCGTACCTTCAGCCGAACTAAATAAATTTCAAAAAAAAAAAAATTTTTCTTTTTAATTCACTTAAATTAAATAAGAATAGATTTACTTTTTAGCATCGTTTGTTTCAGTATCATCATCATCATCACTTGCAAGATTTAAATTAATATTAGCTGTTGTTTCACCGGCTTTATTTTTAACAACAATTTTATATGTACCAGCATCATTAGCATTAAGTTCAGAAATTTCAAGTGCTACATTATAAGTATTTCCTGTTGCAATGAAAATTGTTTGTGCATGTTTCTTTGTATTGGAAAGTTTATTATCATTATGAAGCCAGGTTATCTCAGGCTTGGGTGTACCTTGCACTTGACATTCGAGAAAAAGACGCGTAGCATCATCTGGTATTTGTCGAATATTTGGCGGTTTAGAAAATCTTGGTGCACTAGCCGCCATTCTTTTCTTTCTGTTTCTTATTAATCCAACAATTTACTAACTAATTATCTATCAAAAATAAAAATAAAAGTAAATAATAAAAATAATATCAATAAAAAGAAAATATTAGCCATGCATGTTAGTTATATATGTATGTATATACATATATGTGTATACATATCGAGGAAAAGTATCAAAGAAATAATCATAAAAAAATATTAGAGATAGTTGACGACAACCTAAGCCCAAATGAGAGGAAGGGAGAGAGAGAGAGAGAGAGAGAGAGAGAGAGAGGAAACAAGACGAAGAAAACGATGTACTATTGTATACGGTAAAAAAATATCCCCTATGCCTGTATTAACGCGTTAGCCGGTGTTGATCATCTAAGTATCTCCATATACAAACACACACACACACACATGAAGAAGAGGGGAAAAGAAGGGTGGTACACTCTAGTGCTAACTAAAAGAGCGGAAGATGATGACAAAAGTTCTTTTCTCTTTTTTCTCTTGTATATGATATCGGTTGCACTCTGATGTGGTTTTTTCTCCACATTCGTTTTTCTAGAAAGAACAGAAAAAATATTTCTTAATAGCTTGTAATGGACGATAAAGAGTTTGTATATAACCCGTGGGTAGAATCGTCAAACGAAAGTTCTTCTCTAAAAATTAGAGAATAACTATTACAAAACAAAAAAAAAGAAAGAAAGACTATTGATAAAATAATAACACATCCATCCATCCATCCATTTATAACAATTATATAATTCGAACTAGAAAAAACAAAAGCGTATTATAGTTATATGATCTGACCAAAAAACGAGCAATTGTTTTATGATAAACTCAAGCAATGTGATCGACATCAAGATGATGATAAAGACAAAAGAATGTTAATCGTCCCCGGACGCATACAAGCATAAATAATACAAAGCTTAATCGTCATGATAATGACCAGTATATACATCAATATCTATCAATCATGCCATATTTCACGATTGAAAAAAAACACAAAACATTGTTCTCGATTTTATTTGATAAGCAAGCATTTCAGAATATATAACTTTCTTTTTTTTTTTCAACATGCAAATAATTTTTCATTTTTAGATTTATACCAATGTATCTTACTCATACAAATACATATATATATGCACTTGCCATCTATATCTTAACAAACCTTTAAGAAAACTAAGTTGATTAGGGTGGTGTAAAACAAACTGCAGTACAACAATGAAAGCTGCATTTATTTTCTTCGTTTTCTCCTACATAAAAAAAACGAGATGTATGTCTATTAATAGATGCAATATATATATATATATACAAACGCAAACGCCACCATACGCTAGATGTTTCCTCACCCCACATATATATATACATATATATATATATATATACTATGAATGTGGGTGTCTGCAACTGATGTGGATAATCATACTAGTGCAAGCATAAGAAGGTTGCATATTAACGTTGTCTTCATCAATAGAATACTGTCGTATGTATGGCGATGACGACATGATAATATTAGCAATAGATAGGAGATATCCTTATCAAAAAAATCTATAACATAAGATACAAGTAGAAAATAATAGGAAAAAAACAATTTCACATGAAGTATTTTATTGATATAATCTATTGTATAACTATGAAAAAATAGACAATGATGATAGAAAACAAAAGTCCTAGATTCTAATAAAGAAAAAGACTCATTTATTTGCCAATCTTTTATATAACTAAAGAAAAAGACTAAAGTTCAGAACTATTCATAACAGATATATTCTTTATAATATCATAAAATCAAGGTCAATAATAAACCATGACTTTTTACAGGTATGATTGACAACATTTTTTTTTCTTGTTATATATTGAACATTCATATACCTATATTTTATATTATTCTAGAATTTGTACGGTATTTCTTTTTTCTTTTCTACATTAACACACACACACACACACACACATTGATACCATTAAATAATGACCTTCTGGAATTAATTTTCAAGTTTTTCTTTTAGACTAGTGACAGACTACATCAATTGTATAAACGAATAATAGGTGTACATATTGAGTTATCGATCACCCACACTTAAGAATGTCGTGCAAAAACAACAATGACAATCATAATTATCATCGATTTATGTGTTTATTCTTCTGTTCTTCATTTTACAATGTCTATTACATATAGATAAAATATAAATAGTTAATGCATGAATTTTAAAATCACATTCATATATATAATAATATATACATAATGGTATACATATAAGTGTAATAAAAAATGGAAAAATAAAAATAAAAATAATATTTAAATTATTATGTATTAATTTATGATCAATAGAATTTGATTTTATATTATTTTCTATTATATTGAAATATTTTCGATCATTATTTATACACGATTTCATAAAACAATAATCAGATTGAATTGAAAATGAATCTATTAAACATTGACGATCAGATTTACAAGAACGTCTGCGTACAATACGACCTATTATATAAAAAAAAAAATTATAAATAGTAAAACTGAAAACAATGCGACAGTATCTGGTTAATCTTAATCTTTATATAATCTGACAGTAAAGATAGGTTTTATTTTGATTAATGAATGATATATTGACGGGTGATGAAATGTGACTGAATATAATCTCGATAAAGATTCATTGTCTTTTTATTCTTTGTGTTTTTTTATTTCTATTGTAATTTCATAATATCAATTTATTCTTACCAATTCCACAAGTAACTGAACATGAACTCCATTTTGACCATTGTTGCCAATTATCGATTTGAATACATGTTTCTGAATTAATAAAACATTTAATAAGATTATCTAAGATTTTTTGTAAACTATTATCATTAATTATATTTGTATAAGTTCGTAATATTTGATCATTTTTACATTTATCAAGTTCTTTACTACACAAACGAATAAGTATTTGTTTTATAATTGGATATCGCCATAATGTTTGTAAGATTAATTCAAAATAATATCGATCTTCATTATTATACGCATATATATAGACAATAAATAGTAATCCAACAATTACAAATGTGTAATACATTATATATTCATTTCATATAACAAAAAAAAAGGAAAGAAAACCCGCTAAAATATCTTGTTAATAAACAAAAACATTATTTTAATTCATTAACCATTTAAACAATGAGTTTGACCTATTTCACAGACAAATTTTTGACATTCATAATACAATCTAAGTTATTCAATTTAATATATATTTATATTATTTCCATAATATTCTTTGTTTATCTTTTGCTATTTACTCTATTAAGTAATATATCTTGTCGATCAATATTTTTGCTAAAGGCAATTACATTCTTAACATACTCATCCAATTGAGTAAGTCAAAAAAACAAAAAGATATGTATATTTCTCTTGTGATTTCAGCACGTACCGAATAGGTTTGTCTATATATAATCATTTATATTTTCATACCGAACAGAATGTTATAAACTACATGAAATTTATTAATTTATTTTCCTCACCCCGAAAGAAAAAAAAAACGCAAATATTTATTATTTTATATAGACAATATAATAGACACAATACAAATATAATATATATATGTATATTAATAATAATGCTTTGATAAAATATCAAGGTAAAGGCGCGCACATATACATTAAAAACTTATCAGTCTAACCGACAAAAAAAAAAAAAACGAAAAAAAAAAACCAGACTAGATTAAATATCAAGACAACATATTTGCGTAAGTTTCTTTGATTTAAATACAAGCTAAAGTAAAATATCTGAATACTATGATGTCATAAATCGAGAAAAGAAAAAAAAAAGATGAAACTAGCTCTAATAAGATAAAATAATAGACAAAAGTCTAAAACATGCACAATCAAAAAAAAAATCACCACAGTACAAAAGCGCATAAACATACAGCGAAAGATTATTAAACATGACTATATATATATAGATATATATATATATATATATATTAGAATATGATATATATTCTTGTCAACATGGACATAGAACATTGAGAATGTATTTTGTTAAAAGCTCTGGCACTTGAGGACTATCCTCATTAATTGCATGTAGTACTACAAAAAAAAAAAAAAATTTATTTTAATCAAACTAAATAATTCAATTTCTTAACTAACTTTTATTTAAACTTTGTAAATGTTCAACTGATAAATATGTTGGATGATCATGATCATATGGAATCACCGTTGTAAGATACTAAAATTAAACAAAAAAGAAGAATTGAAATAATAGTAATTATCATTTTAAATCTTATAGACATTTAATTAAAAGCAGTAAATATATAGCGTTTAAATATAGTATTAAGCATATGAAACAACATGTATGGATAAATATGATATAAAGTGAGACTATTCGATGTGTATTTAGGTTAATATTGGTTATGTAATCTACCTGAGTCTTTGGAAATAATTCATGCCAACTAATCGAAAAAATATCGAATACTGATCGATTACGACGGGATAATATCTAAACCAAATTTTGTTTTGTCATGGAATAAAATCATTTATATATGTTCGTTTGTTTTGTTTTTATTATTATTGAAAACTCTACAACTCAACTTGTGAAAGTGAAAGAAAAAAGAAAATGTCTATCAATTTTATTGTATGACAATAATAGACAATATCTAACCGATTATTCCCAGTGTTGCAACATTCTTAATATAACCTTATCAATCATCCGAGTAGACTACAATAATAATAATAATAATAATAATATAACTTGTTTTAACTATTGTTTATTATTTTCTATTTTTAGAATCATTATTTGTTTTGTCAAGGTCAATTTTACCGACTGGATATATCCATTTATAGATATTCCAATCATTTGAAAAAAAAAAAATAAGAAAAACAATTTGACCTTGGACTAATTAACAAAACTTTCAGAGATCTATGAAAGATTATATTTTCTTTACTAACATTAGTCAAGTTATGCATCTATTATGACAATTCTTTCGCATATCTTATGACAGACTATGTCTAACAATATTCTATATTGGTAACTATCCATGAAGTCTTTCAATAATATATATTTGATGAATAGACATGGAATGTTATATTTTAATGCAAATAAGTTGTTAACATGCTGATCAGAATGTAATTAATTCATATGAATTTCAAAAAAATATATTCATTTAATTGATAAAAAAGTTTCATATGAAAAAAAAACAATTTATATTATTTTTTTTCTCGATTAATCAATATCATCATGTAAATATGAACTCATAACCCCACTTCATTTCTATCCTAATCCAATTAATAATCACAGCGTTCGATAATATAGGAAAAAGGAAAGAAAAAAGTTTACTCAACAACTCATCTGTATAATAATAAATATTCATCAAACATTTTCTTTTTTTTTTTTTTTTTTGTTGACATTTTCTCTAGGAAAAGAGAGAATTCCCAATACACATTAGTCGCACGTTCATACTAATCGTATCTACAAGAGCAATAATACAAACTATTTGATTCTATTAACCATTTTTAATTATAAAAAGAGCGCAAAATAAAGAGAACATATAATATTTACCGTTCCCGGTTCAATATAATTGCTATTTCCTAGTATCGAACGACGTTTCGGACGTTTTTCACCCTGATGATGTCGACGTTTATTCTAAAAAAAAAAAAAAAGGAAATGTTGTTTTTTTTGTCCTAAGGAAAAATAAAAATAAAACATCATTTACTTGAATACTAAGTACAAGTGAAATAAATGTATTCTTTGTTTCTTTTTCATATTCAAGTTCATCTCGAACTGCTAATTCCTAATGAATAAAAAACAAAAAAACAAATTAATCAAAAAAATTCTTTTTTTATGTATTTACTTGAACAAGAAAATTTGATAATTCTTTAACAGATGTATTTAATTCTTCATATAATTCATTCAATGAATAAATTGTTTGTGATTTTAAATCCATTTCATCATTATGTATACTTGATGATAAATATTTAACACATCTTGTACGTAAATCAAGTATATCAGATGTTGATTGATCATCACAATAACCTGAATCAGGTGTCATATCTTGTAACATAAAATCAATTTCACTAATAACTTGTTCAGCTGTAAGAAATGGTTCATGATTTGATGAAATAATAATTGAATGCATATCTAATTGTTCACGTAATTCTTCTTCTTCATCATCATTTAAATCATCAATTGATGTTATATCATCTTCATTTTTATTTGTTTTAATTGTTTGATAATAAATACTATTCATTGCTATTTGACAACTTTGTGATATATTTGGTAATTTTAAATCATGACGAAGTGATGTACGAAGATTTTCAATTAATTCTGACCATGTACTAAAAAAAGAAAAAATGAAACTAAACATAAAAATAAATGAATAACAAAACAAACTTTGATGAAGCAATAAGATCTTTTTGTGATGTTTTACATTGTTTTTCTTCATCATTATCATTAAGTTCAATTACTTGTTCATCTTTAAAACAAGCATTTATTGTATGATCAAATGATTTTACGAGATCTTCAAGTGATGATGATTTACACGAATGTTCACCTAAAGAAATATTTTATTCAAAAAAACAAAAACAAATTTTTCTTATTCAACTAACCAAGTGTTGGATTTAATAATGTATTATCATTATTATAATTTAATATTGTTTGATCATCAGTCATATCTTCTTCTTCATCGAAATTATCATTATTATTTGCATGAGAATTTGTTTGAGCAAATTTTACAATAGGTGCACATGGATTATCATATAAAACTTGTTTGTCTCGTAGTCCTATAGACATCAGCAAAAATACTATGATAAACGATGAAGATAACAGAACAGATACAGAATTAATTAAGTTTATTTTCTTGTTTATTTCTTTCAAATCAATTTATTATCCAATAATATTTTCTAATTTTATTGAAAATTATTTTACAAAAAATAATAAAAATTCATTTGAATTCTTTAATTTTTTATTCTTATTTTATTATTTATTTATTTCTATAGAATAAAATTAGAGGATAAAAACTAAATGCTATGGTAGAAAATAAACCAATCAAATGAATTGTCAACAAGTTAATATGAGTCATTGGTTGTTCTGCACAACTGTCAGACAAGTAGTAGAAGATATACAATATCTCCTTTTTTTTGTTGTTGTGTATCCAGCTGTCAACTCATTTCATTTGGATACTATGATAATTATGTTCAGTCATTAGTTTGTAACAAGACAACTGTCTGTTGACATATATGCATATGGTTTACTTATTAATAAAGTCTTATATGGAATATGAGTATTTTTTTTTCTCTGATACAATAGTTGATATGATATCTCTCTATGCTGTCTAGTGCTCTATATGTAGAAACAAAACATTCTTTTAAAGATAATAATCAACAAATATGATATAGCAACTGTTATTTTTGAAGTGTAAATTAATATCTAACGATATATGGAGAAAAAAGAAATACGATATTCAATTATGGTTTTATTTGAATTAATTAATTATTCAATTTCAATTGAATTTTGATAGTTTAAATATATATAGTATTAAAATTGAGTTCCTTTTTAGATTTAAATAAACTTATATTGTACATTGTATTATTATTATTATTTAAAATATAATATATTCAATCATAGAATGTGAGTTAGAATTTATTTTAATACAAAAAAAATAAAATAATAATAATATTCAATCCTATCATTTAACAATAATTTGGATAATATCTCTTTTACTCTTTAAAAATTTACTTGTTCTTGTAACACAATATCAACTACAATCAAAATGATCATTTATTAACATAACTTTTGTTAAGCTTTAATTGACTAAAACAACATAAAGATGTTTTCAATCGAAGTATTGTCAGTGTTTCCTGAATCCTTTTTTTTTCAAAATAAAATGAGATATATCAAATTACTAATTTTACATACGATAAAATCTGACTCTAATCTTATTCGCCTGTGGATTAATATTGAACCCTGATTGTTTTCAAATCAATTTTTACACTTGAAGTGGTTCTACTCAGGTATCGAAACACTTTCTTATCATCATTCTATGAGAAATTATTATAGTTCGATAGAGTTGAGTGTGTTGGTTACAAATAATCCATCTCTCTGCAAACTGGTAGGATAATAAAAAAGATTTGTAGCACTTTTTTATGGTATTAAAAATTAGTATTTGATCTGAAATTTCATTAAAATCTAATTTTAATTATTCAGAAATAGATTCGTTCGATGGAATACTTTATTGTCAATCATAACCGGTAAGATCATGTTAGTGACTCAAATGTTTTTTCTATCGATAAATGCCAAGTACTATTCTAATTGAAGCATAATGATGTTTTTGGCCTTATGAAGTCACAGTTTATACATGTTACACCCACGAGATATTTTTATCGAGCATGTAATTCAATATGTCCTTCTTAATAAGATCATTTTCAGACGGAAATTCTATATTTGAAGGTCGATTTTATGCTGGAGACCTTGAGGGGGTGTATATGCTTTCGTAGAATACTTGAATGATTAAATTTCAACTTATCATATATCAACTATTCAATAATTGAATACAACCTTCAAGTGCTTGACATGTATATTTCTAGACTGATGGAAACATGACAAGATATCAAAATCTTTCGGTAAACTAATTAGATAAAACTTAATTATATTTCTGCAAATTTAAACTGAACTTTCAGTTTCAAATGACTAAGTCAGACCTCTATTATCTTATCTATGTGACTCATTGCTCTGCGGTAATATAATTCTTTCAGAATATCGTATCTTCCATACAGTTATGAGTCATTTGAAATCGAAAGTTTAGTTTAAACTTGCAGAAATCTAATTGATTTACCGCACGGTATTAAATTTTTTTCATATTTCCATCTGTCTGGAAGCATACATGCGAAGCGCTCGAAGGTTGTATTCAATTATTCAATAATTGAAATTTAAGCACTCAAGTATGTCACGAATGAACATACACATCCTCAAGGTTTTAAGCATAAAATCGACCTTCACACATAGATTTCAGTTTGAAAGTGGCCTCATCAAGAAGGACATATATTGAATTATGTATTTGGTTAAAAAAGAAATCTCATCAGTACACATATCAACTATAACTGTATGAAGACAAAAAAAAAACCCAATCATTCTGCTTACCTTATAGAAAATAAAATTCTCCGTCGAATGAATCTCTTTTCGACTAATTCAATCAAATATTAATTTTTAGAACTATCAAAAAGTGCTTGAGATATTTGTAACTAACATATTAAATTCGATTGAACTATAATAGCTTCTAACAGAACGACGACAAAATGTTTTTTGATACTTGACGAATACTTCAGATGTAAAAAATTGACTTAAAAATAAGCAGAATTCAATGGTAATCCTCAGACAAATAAGATTAGAGTGAGATTTAGCATGCAAACTTAATAATTTGCCATACATCCTTTATTCACAAACAAAAAGGAAATTCATTGTATTTTTAATCAATTTATGCAATACAAATCAAAGACAATTTTATAAAATTCTGTACAATATTTTATTGGATGATGAAAATAATTCTATAATTAATCTATATTATATAGAAATATAATTGAATTCATATGTATTCTATTTATCAATGAAGATAATAAACTCTAATAGACGTGTTTTCTACAAGATATTTTTTGTTGTTCTTATTTTATTTCATCTGTAAAAAAATGCAATAATCAAATGACTGTGATAATTAATTCCGCATCGATAGAAATATCCTCTTCCTGTTAAATTTGTGCAATCAACTAGATAAATATTATTATCAATTAGATAATGATCAGTTTGAATTGATATTCGTCGATTGAAATATGCAAATTTTATATAAAAATCATCTTATATAATACTTAATAGAAAATATATGTGAATCGATAGAATATGATTGAGCTTTGTGTTTAAATATTCTTGATTTTAAAAATGATAAAATAAAATTTATAATTAATAATAATGTTGTTCAATTGTATTAGAAATGATATTTTGATTTGTTGATAAAAATTTTTCTTCAGTTGTGATTGATTATAAATTATAAATAATATTGTCTGACGTGTTTTCTTTGCTTAGATTCAGAATTCCATAATTTATGATAATATATAACGTTTTGACATAAATCTAATTTGGATATATGTATGGAATGTATTGACCTTTTTATTCTGTCGAATATTGGACATTTTTTTTTTGTAGATGTAAAGATAACATTAACATAACCTTTATCTTGTTTTTATTTGTTTTATGATTAGCATGGGATGAATATTGTAAAGTAATTAATAATAATTTGTATATTGATACATATTCGAAAATATATGAGAAAAATAATAGACGTCAACATGTAATGTTATGTTAGATTGATAAGGGATTGATTTTGATTGATATTTATTAAAAAAAAAACAACAACTTTAGTCGAGTATTTTCAATAAGAAAATTTTTGTAAAATGTAGATTTAATGTGAAATAATCGAAATAGTAGTGAGATGTGGACGAATATGATAATGTTTCTTTTATTTGTTTTTGAAAATTAGAAAGATTATAATTAATAAGAAAAATATGTGTAATTATCGTTTTATTTATCTTATTTCAAGCAGATTTATTTATGCTAACTATTTGATATTTATACTAAATTTGATTGTCATTCGTCGTATAATGATGAAAATATCACCAATACACTCAATTAACTTCATTGGTAAATTTGTCTTTTGGAATATAGAAATAGACAAATATGTTTCTATATAGTTGATTAATGATTACAATGAAAAGACGATCCTGAGAAAAAAAAGCAGATGTAATCAGACAACATATGATATGTTCATATTGAACAATATTAAATTAGAATATTAACAAATTTTGTTTATTGGTAAAACTTTGTGATGAGTAATTAAGACCTTTACAGATCTTTTGGATAATGATTATCGTTCAATCTATGATTATTTAAGTTATGATGAAATTTATCATTTTAATGTATACGAGAGAATTGCTAGAATTGATACCCAATATTATCTCAAATGGTAGGTATCACTTCAAGTAGCTCCCTCGTTGGTCTTATGGTTTGAAAATTTGTTTTCTTAGTTGATATAGATTTTTTTTTCTCTTACTTTTTTAGGCGTTATTCACATCAGATCTCAATTCAGATTATCATTTTTATAAGCTCGACGATGATTATCTTGGATCATTATTAACTCGTTTTCAAAGATCTCATTTATGTATGATACAATTTCATTGATTTAAATAATTTTCTCATTTTCATTCAATTATATTACAACAATATCTTTTTGTTGATAAAAGTTTTTTTCTATTATTTTATATTAAGATGAAATAAAAAACAAAGGTATGCTCATTAATTATTAAGATAGCATAAACTTTAAATATGTCTTTAATAAAGTACTATAAGTTGTAATTAACAATAGCATGAACTACTTATTTGAAAACGAAATATTATATAAAACTAGGTCAAATTTTTATCTATTAGAAGACCAACTTACGTTGCATCTTTTGAGATGTAATGATAAAAAGAAAAGTTAATGAAAATAAAAAATAACTAAGATAAGCTGGTTATCAAGGGATATTTGACTAAGGTCTTTTATTTTCATTATATCAACTACTCTTTCATTTTTTTTATTATGTTACGAAGTTGTTATATTTTCGTTCTATTTTGTTTCTTTACTATTAATATTCTAATAATCGAGAGTCGATCGATTTCTGATGATACTATTGAAACTATTCTAAGTGATCCATTAAATGATAATCATCGAAAATTATTACATACTTTTACTAGTTATCGTCATCGTTTTGAACAATCTGCTAATTTCAAAGCACTTCGATGGACATTAGGAAGTCAAAAAACTTCTGGATTATGTGATCTTTGTGATTTAGGCGTACCTGTAGTAAGTTAATTTGTCAATTTTCAATATTAAAATTTGTCTTTTTTTCTATATATGATAGATTCGGTTACTTCTTGAACTTAATCAAACAAGTCTTATTGACGAAGTAGTTAACACTTTTTGTAGAGAATATATATTACTTGATGAAAATGTTTGTCGTGGTGCTGCTTATGAATATCTGGTAAAAAAAAAGTTTTTTTGTTTTCAAAAAAAATATATATATATATATATTAATTTTGCTAAATATAGGGTGCAGTATTTCAAGTTATTGAATTAACTTCTTTTACTAATAAACAACTTTGTGCATTAGCATTTGAATGTCAACCACAAAGAGATTTTCCTATTTTCAATTGGAATGTAACATTTCCTGATAAACCAAAACCAACACCTCAACCACCACAACCTCCATCAGTAAGTAGAATTTTATTTTTATTATCTTTCAAATCAAATTTCATAATGGAAATATTTAACAAAACTAGTTCTGTTTGGAAAGAACGATTAAATATATCGCGATAGAGTACTTTGATTTTTTGTTTATTGTAGCCAGATTCACCAAAATTGAATATTCTTCATTTGTCTGATCTACATGTTGATTTTTCCTATAAACCAGGATCACAAGCTGATTGTTCCCAACCTTTATGTTGCAGAGAAGGTCAACCAGGTAAATATCTTATACATGATATTTTATTGATAATAGTTTAATATGTGTTATTTTTTTTTACATTAGTTCCTAGTCATAAAGGTGCTGGATTTTGGTAAAGAATTCGAACAATCTTAAAGTGCATTCTATTTATATCGATACTTTAGGGGTGATTATCGAAATTGTGATGTTCCTTTTTGGACAGCTGAAGCACTATTAAAATATGCTGCTGAGATTGAAAAAGTAATTTTCATCTGATGAAGATACGTTTTATAAACATATATATATTATTTTTGATAGGTAGATTTTATTTATTATACAGGTGATTTACCAGCTCATAATGTTTGGAATCAATCTCGTACTGATCAACTCTATTCCATTAATACTATCAATAATATGTTAGCAACTATTTTTCCAAATAAAACATTTTATTCAGCTGTTGGTAATCATGAAGCTGGTATATAACTTTCTTAACATATTTTTCATCATTGTTTGATCTTTTCTTTTGTATAGCTCCATGTAATTTATATCCAACACCAAATATTCGAACGGATAATATATCTTGGTTATATGAAACATTAGCTGATAATTGGATAAAATTAGGTTTATCAAATGATACACGTGATAGTATTTTACATGGAGCTTTTTATACAACATTAATACGACCTGGTTTACGATTAATTTCACTTAATATGAATTATTGTACATCAGATAACTTTTGGTTAATTATTAATGCAACTGATCCACTTGGTCAACTTCAATGGGTAAGTTTTATAATGATGAAAATATAATTATGAACAAATCTTGTTTAGTTAATTCAATGGTTACAATATGCTGAAGATCATGAAGAAAAAGTACATCTTATTGGACATCAACCTCCTCGTTCTTGTTTTGCAGTATTTAGTTGGAATTTTAATAAAATTATTAATCGGTAAAAATTTCAAAATAAATTCTATTACCTATAATATTATTGCTAGATATGAAAATACAATTGCTGGTCAATTTTATGGTCATGCCCATTCAGAAGAACTAATGATTTTCTATGATGAAATTAACAGACAACGACCTGTTTCAATGGTATAGTATTTTCTTTTTATTGTTCCGTATGTAATCATATTTCTACATAGGCTTATATTGGGCCATCAGTAACAACTTATTCATATTTAAATCCAGGTTATCGTGTATATACAATTGATGGTGATTATCAAGGAAGTTCATTTTGGACACTTGATTATCATACAGTTATAATGAATTTAACTGCATCGAATATGTATAATCAAACTATATTTCTTAAAGAATATGATGCTCGTGATGCATATCAAATGGAAAATTTATTTCCTAATGATTGGAATAATCTTATTCAACGATTAGAAAATGATATTGATGGTCCATTAATGGGTACAGTTTATCAACATTATACAAAATCATATGAAGATGGAAGTCGATGTGATCATAACTGTCGTCGAGGGCTTATATGTGATTTTAAAAGTGCTCGTTCAGAAGATCCTCATGCGTGTGATTCAATTCCACCATTTAATTAATCCTTTTTTTTTTTATTGTAATTCATTTTTTTGTTAAATAATTTTTTTAATGGATAAATGAATTATATACTAAAATAAATTTGGAATATTAGTATTTTAATAAACAGAATTTTCTTTATTATTGTAGTTATTTTCGATTTACAATGTGGTCTATCTTTCAATATTGTCGATTATTGTCTTTCTTAATTATTTACTTGATAATGATTAATGCTCGATCGATTTATAAAGATACTATCAATAGATCGATTGATGATCCTTTTAATAATGTTGATCGAAATCTATTGATTACTCTTGCTAACTATCGTCATCGATTTGAGAGATCAATGAATTTTAAAAAATTACGATGGACATTTAGTAATTTAAATAGTACAGCAATATGTGATGCTTGTGATCTTTTGGTACCTGAGGTAAATATTTTCTTTTTTCAAGTGTATTATTTTCAAAAGTTAAATATTTTAGATGCGAACACTTATCAGAATTAATCGATCAGATTTAATTGATGATGTTGCTATGCGATTTTGTAAATACTATAAGTTACTTGATCCAAATGTTTGTTTAGGAGCTGTAAATGAATATAAAGTAAATCTTCTATTATTGAATATGTGAAATTAAAGATTCGTTTTCACATTAGAATGTTATAATAGAAGTGCTTGTAATGTCTCCACTTACAAATAAAGAACTTTGTTCGTTAGCATTCGAATGTCAACCACCACCATATTTCCCTATAGTTGGTTGGAATGTAACGTTTCCTGACAAACCAAAACCAACACCTCGACCACCACAACCTCCTTCAGTAGGTGACGTTAGAAAACAAAACATATTGAAGATTATTATAAGTTTGAATATATATATACTTCGTATGAATTTAGCCAGGAGCACCAAAACTAAATGTTCTCCATTTATCTGATATTCATATTGATTTTGCCTACAAACCAGGATCTCAAGCAGATTGTCCTCAACCATTATGTTGTAGAGAAGGTCAACCTAGTGAGTAATTATTCTATTAAATTTTGATAATTTCTAATCGTTCATGAACAATTTTATAGTACCTAGTCATACAGGTGCTGGTTTCTGGTAAGATTATTTATTAACATCATACTAAAACATAAGTATATAAACTATTAAAGGGGTGACTATCGAAATTGTGATATTCCCTATTGGACTGCAGAATATATATTAAAATATGCTGCTGAATTAGAAAATGTAATTATAATTTTTCTAATAATTAGGGAGTTGCGGGTCGACATTTTTGTAGGCCTGTAGCTTCCTACTATTAATACTATCATGTAATCGTTGTATTTTTCAAAGATTGATTTTATATATTATACGGGTGATTTACCAGCTCATAATGTTTGGAATCAATCTCGTACTGATCAACTCTATTCCATCAATACTATCAATAATATGTTAGCAACTATTTTTCCAAATAAAACATTTTATTCAGCTGTTGGTAATCATGAAGCTGGTATATAACTTTCTTCACATATTCTTTATCATTGTTTGATCTTTTCTTTTGTATAGCTCCATGTAATTTATATCCAACACCAAATATTCGAACGGATAATATATCTTGGTTATATGAAACATTAGCTGATAATTGGATAAAATTAGGTTTATCAAATGATACACGTGATAGTATTTTACATGGAGCTTTCTATACAACATTAGTACGACCTGGTTTACGATTAATTTCACTTAATATGAATTATTGTTCGAGAGAAAATTTTTGGTTGCTTATTAATACGACTGATCCACTTGGTCAACTTCAATGGGTAAGTTTTATAATGATAAAAATATAATTATGAGCAAATCTTGTTTAGTTAATTCAATGGTTACAATATGCTGAAGATCATGAAGAAAAAGTGCATATTATTGGTCATCATCCACCACGATCATGTTTAGCATCATGGGGTTGGAATTTTTATAAAATTGTTAATAGGTTATACATTTAGAAGCATCTAGAGCGGTAGCCATCCTTCCAATCTTGAAAAATTTTCGTTTTTTCTTGTTGAGTAATTCTCAAAAAAAAAACTCTCGATGGGCGACCTCGAAAGATCCCTTTAGATATTAAAAATAATCTCATATTATCTATAGAATTTTCTGTTGATCTAGATATGAAAATACGATTGCTGGTCAATTTTATGGACATACACATTATGATGAATTTTTAATGTTTTATGATGAAATAGATCAGAAACGTCCCGTATCGATGGTTTGATTTTCTTTTTCTTTTGTATTAAACAGATTATAATATTTTTTTTCTACATGACTTTTAGGCTTATATGGGACCATCGTTGACAACAAGTTCTTATTTAAATCCTGGTTATCGTATCTATTCAATTGATGGTGAATATTCTGGAAGTTCTTATTGGGTACTTGATCATCGTACAGTAATTATGAATTTAACTGCATCAAATCTGTATAATAAAACAATTTTTATTGATGAATATGATGCTCGTGATGCATATCAAATGGAAAATTTATTTCCTAATGACTGGAATAATCTTGTAGAAAAATTAAAAAATGATTTAGATGGTTCATTAATGAGTTTAGTTTATCAATATTATACTAAATCATATGCTAATGGAAATCAATGTGATCATATTTGTCGTCGTGGACTTTTATGTAGTTTTATAAGTGCTCGAGAAAATAATCCACATGGATGTGATTCTATTCCACCGTTTGTTTTATAAACCATAATGCTTTCTATTTTGTATAATTTATTTTCTATATATATATATGTATTTATTTCTGATCAATAATATTTTTTTTTTTATCTAAAAACTTTTGATCACACTCGTTCTTTTTCTTTCTCCTATCTGAACAATTTTATACTATATTACATAAAGAAGATTTCGACAATAAAACAAAAAGAAAACATATAATCGATTGAATAATATAAGAATTAATTGAGTAAATACACATGGCTATAGAAGATTTACCGGAAGAAATCACCTGAATAACAAAAAGAAAAGAAAAAGCCTTAATTGACAAATATATATTAAATAAAAAGAAGTATATCGATCCTTCTCTTATCGTCGAATTTTAAAATTAGTTGCTTGTGATAAACGTGTATAATTATTAGTTCGTAAAATTGGACGACCAATTGAATTAACTTGAAAACGTTCTCGTGTACATTGAAATGGAGTACTGAATACAGGTCGTGATTGTTGATAAACATTGATTAATGAATTTCTAGAATATGGTTGACATGAATTTGGAATAAAAAATTGATTAGTTGGATAAGTTTGTGGAATACGAAATGATGGTATTGTTTTTTCTAAAATATAAAAAAGAAAATTAATGTCTTTGAAACTTTCTGTTCAAACTTGTTTGTATTTGAGTTGAAATTGATTGATTAAGTTTTTGTTGAACAATTGATGATGATGATGATGATGATGATGATATTTGCTGTGGATAATTATAATTGCCCATTAAATGTGTTGTTGAACTATTATTTGTTGATGAATGATTATAAAATGGATGATAAGTTAATAATTCTAAATCATTATTTGTTTTATGAATTATTGGTTCATCAATTGAAGAAAAACGAAAATTATCATAAATAGACATTGTTGATGATTTAATAGATGAATTAAATGTTGGAATCTAGATAGATCATTAAATTTTAATTCGTTTTATTTTTCTATTTTAAAAACACACCTCAAAAGAATTATTATTTTCTTCTATATTTCTCGAAGTAAAATCCATATTCATTCGTTGTAATGATAATAATGATGATTTCATTTGAGTTGATGTATTTGATGGTTGTCCAATCTTACGTTCTGCCTAAAGTATCGAAAAGAAAAAACGTTTTTTTTTTTCGTTTATTGCATTTGTTTATTTACTCCAATTGGTTTAAGATTTGCAAAAACAAAATTTGGTATAGGATATTGATTTTCTTGTAATAATAACAATTCATCCACACTTGGATCTATTGATGTTGTCATTGTTTTGCCGATGATTACAACAGTTATTCGACTTGTATATATATATATGATATATAAACACAATTGATTGTCAGTCTGAGGAAATAATTAATCAAATCATGTTTTTTCTTGTTCGACTAATTAGATACGAGAACAACTGACGATAACATAAAAACTATTTCTCATGACGATAATATATATATGCGATGGATGTTCAATATAAATAATTATATATAAAGAAAGAAAACAAACACGCGCCATGGAAATCAATATTCAATATGTCCACAATCGTTGAAATGAGACTAGAATTACGAAACCGATATTTTTGAAACTAGGAGATCTCTTCAAAAAAAAACATACTCAGAAGTTCACCAGAAAAATTTTGTTTTTTCGAAAAACCAAAAAGCATTTAGTGGTATTCTCGTTCACAGAAGCGCTTGTTACTTTCTTCTAATAAAGTAATGATAGTAAAATTTACTGACAAGCCATATAAATGAAAAAGAAATATGATCATACGTATTGTATATTATTAATTTTTTCATATTTGTCGATGAGAATATACAGACCAAATAAGTATACGAAAATAATAAGTTATTTATTGTATTATGGGTGACACTTTTGCAGAGTATTTTTCTAATAACTAGATTTATTTCAACAAATAAGTGATTTTTCATTTTGTTTCAACTATGTATTCCATAAAAATTTCATTCGACAAAAAATAGATTCGCAAAAGGCATCTAAGGCAAGTATAGAAAAAGTAAATTGAGCTAATTTTTGTATATAAGATACATTTTTACCTCTAAAAAGATAAGCTTACAACTAGTCCCATTTGATTAACGGATATTTCTTATGTTCTCTATGAAGTCTAACGTCACACTATGATGTTAGTTCATTTTTCTTGTTGGTTAAACATGTCTCTAACGAGGGAATGTTTTTAACTGATCAGTCACTTTTGAATTCAAACTCTGCATAAGATAGGTCCCCTTAGGCCTTCTGTACAGAGTTATAGGTATTATACTAGAATTTTAGCGTCTGGTATAATATATACCATCATTCGATTTGTTCGTATTTACTATGTCAGACGTTAAAATTCCAGTAAAATACCTATAATACTGGATAGAAGGCCTAAGGAGACTTATCCTTGTGACATTTTTATATCACACTAGGTTCTATCCTATGTACTGAGTCCGAATTCAAAAGCAATTAATCAATTGAAAACGTTCCCTCTTAGGAGTCCAAATGAAGGAAAAACAACAAACAGAAGAAATCGGAAGAACATTTTACAAAGCAGCTCCTAGTGCCACGAGAAAGGTTCAAAAACCAAGGTTCTCCTGGATAAAATCAGGAGGTTTGGTAACCATAAATGAGACGTTCATTAGAAATTATAATATGCATCATATTTCTTGGACTTCTCAATTAAATAATCATTCACAACATAGCTTCATATGATATCTTAAGATTCCAATTTCTTTAGTTATTTGATAATTTGCACATAAACGTCATCAAAAATATTTTCACTCATTTTCTAATTGATTTATTAATTATATTTTCAATTTTTTTGTTGTTGAAAAACAATCGTATTGATTCAATGTCCTTTCAAATAACTTAACCATTTAAATAAGACTAAAATTATATTTTTATTATTTGAAATACAGCAGTAAAAAGAAATGAACAAGAGACAATTGCACTGCATAAAGACGAAATTAAAGTAGCGCGACCAACGTGGCACATTTCTATTCTTATTTCTTCTCGAATGAGTAGAAAATAAAGTTAAAAAGAAAAATCACGCATAATACAAATACAATAACATTCAAAAAAACAAAAACAAACGAAAAGAAAAAGAAAGAATATTAATGAAAATGTTTGTAAACTGCTATAGGTACATCAAGAGAATATTTTGGTTCTTCTTTTGTTAATTGTAAATATTCTTTTGGTGATGTTTCATGACGAATCCAATGTAGAACAATTTCTTGATCTGATGGACAAGATTTAACAAAAGCTTCATGTTCATAAGCTGAACCAAGATAACGCCATAATGATGAATATTCAACTGGAATTGATAAATGAAGAAGATAATCAGCAGCAACACGAATATGTTGTAATTTAGGCCATAATGAACAATCAAGACCTGTTATTTCATTTCCACACATATATTTTGTTCCTCGTTGTCGAAGAAATGTATTAATTTTTTCTAATTCATCTAATAATAATTGTGGATTATTTGTTACATCTTTAATTAAATAAGTAAAACGTGTAAAAACATTTGATTGAACTCTAAATGCTTCAGAATCTTGTCTTGATAATTTATAATTTGTAAATGATGAATCAAGATAATCTTCAATATCATCAATATCATTTAAAAAAATATCACCATGTACAAGTGTTGGTAATTTTTTTGATATTTCTTTAAATTCTTTTGGTGGATTTTTACGATTTATTGTTATGACATCAAAATTAAAATCATTTTCAATTTCACATTTTATTAATAATTTAAGAAATACATCATGACAAAATGGACATGCACCTTTTGATCGACCATCTCGACCAGCTATAGAAGAAACATAATAATAATAATAATAATAATAATATTATGACACTATTCAATTCTTTTCTTCTTACCTTTGATAAATAAATGAACTTTTTGATCATCTCCATCAGTTAATAAACTGCGCTAGAAATACAAAAAAATTAAAAATGATTTCTGATTAAAAAAAAAGACTCGCTTACAGGATCAAACTGTTCCTTCTCACTTTCCTCTGACATAGCTAACTATCTTCTTTTTTTTTCTTTGTAATATGCGTACGAGTGTGTTGGAAATATCGGTAACAAATTAAAGCTGCATGATGATAAAAAAAAGCTCGCTGATCACAACGACGACAACTAAATGTCTTTTTCTTTTCTTTGTTCGATACTAAGAGTGTTCTCATCTGCATACTGACACTCGTGTAAAATGAGAAAAAAAAACGAGAAGAATAAGTAATACAGCCTGTTCTTTTCTTTGTTTTATATCTATTTAACTACATGTAGTTTCTAGGTTAAAAAAAAAAAAGAAGGAAGAATATGTCTATTCAGTTTATAATTTAAATTAATAGACAAAGAAAAGAATAGAAATAATTGATCTCGAAGAAGGAACATGACATTATTTTAATTTTACTAGATTTCAGTTTATATTTGGTTGATATGTATTAACTTACTCTCGATGAAGCTTTGTTCTGCATGATGGGCCACATGAACGGTGATCAAATGAATTTATCTCAATATGAGAGGATAAATGAAAGACAAGCGAGAAGAAAAAAAAGAAAGAAGGCCAACGAGGCTCAAGTTATATAACTATATTTATATGCTTCTCATACATCTAGTTATAACACATCGTCAAGATTTTGATTAATAAACAGCAAATAAATAAACTCACTGGAATCGGATGAAGTTGATTTGTATAAAGTATTGATCTTGGTAAAAGAATAACTTGCATTATTGTTTCGTATTAATCAAATCAATTAGAACGTGATAGCCTTTGGATTCTTTTTTTTATTATTCATATATGTCTATCTTTATGCACACAAGAGTGAGTTAGTAAATGTATTCAAAATTAGATCTACATACATATAAAAACGAATGCACCTCATCCATTGAACATAATGTACACTTTCTCTTTACTATGCTATTTACTCACGACTTCTCTTTTTTTTTCTCTTTTATTGGAAGTGATTAGAGTTCTTCTTCTTCTTCTTCTTCTTCGCTCTATCCTTTTGCCCTATGGACATCATTTTTTTTTGGTACTTCTTTCTTTTTCTCTTTCTCTTATTCTGACCATTTATCCTATTGATAAATTGTAGAATGATAATAATTGCCTTGTGAATTGAGTTCGACACCTTTTCGAATACACGAAAAATAAAGAAATGCTTATGATACGGCTTCTTTTATTTCATGATATGAAAGAATTTCATTTGGCCTTTGTCGACAATCGTACCGTGCATTTGATTATTCACCTTCGCATTTAATACCGTAACAAGAACGTATCAAATAAAAGCTGAGTTCAATGTACATGTACACATTTGTACAAAGAGCAAGTAAAAGGACAAATGAACTCATCTTATCATTTGATAATGTTGATGAAAATGATAGAATAAGAAAAAGAGAATAAGATGAATACGAGAATAATAATTGAACATATCAATTTTATTATTCATTTTCAATGAAAAACTTTCTCTTTGATGAGAAAATGTTTGACATTATTTAGAAAAACAAAATTATCATTCAGTATTGACAATAAATCAATAAACTTCAAGTGCAACTACTTGAACAAACGTTGGTCATCATTGTATAAATACTACTAGACTTTTAAAGTAACAATGAAATAATACATTATAAATCATTTTCATCAATCATCAAGAAAAAAAAAATTCTAGAGTTACTCATGCGATGAAATTTTTGACGTTTCTATCAAGTAGACAATTGAACTATTTCTTTTCAAACTTGAATTTTATTTACAATAGTTTCACATATTTATTTTAATAATCAATATATGTAGATAAATTTCTTATATAACACAAAATATAAGTAGACTAAAACCAACATTAAAGTATAGTAGAAAGATAGTCGTAATTCAGAAATCAATCAAGATTAATATATGTTAACAGTTAATGATGAAAAATCATCAAACATTAATGAAGTTAATCAATCACAATAATAATGTTGAAGTATTATATCAATTTCTGATATAGTTGGTGATCCATTCATGAGATATGTTTACTAAAGTTCAGTTATGTAATTGTATGCTTATAATGTCAGTAACGTGCAATAAAATTTTTTTTAATAACTTCACTCTAAATATTTAGAGAAAAAAAAAGAGAAATTTCAAATAGTCTTAAAATTCGAATATCTTGAAACGAATTAGATTTAGATATTATGAATTTCTTCGCTTGAAATTGCTTAAAGTATTAATTTATGAGAAAAATAACGTAATGTTTGAAAAATGAAAAAAAAAATTGAAAGTGATTGAATTATGAAACTCGATAAAAAAGAATACTTCTAATACATATAAGTATCGGTGTCAATAGTTCGATAAAGAAATTTACATAAGAATAACGACTTTTAAATTCAATTTTTGTTTTAAAAGAAAAGGTTAAAATTCTATCTATCAATTGAACTTTAACTTTCAGTGATAAAGAAATTTTTGTGTCTTATGAATAAATAGAATCTAGACTATATATGTTTCGAACAACTATCGTTTTATAAGTAATGTTTTCATATGAATTGAATAATAATTATCAAACGATTTAAATGATTCATTCATCAGTACTTTTTAGAAGAAAAGAAAAAAATGAAATTGTCCTTATGAAAATTTAAATCAAGGACAAACTTCATTTTATACATTGTTCACTTTTTTAAATGGCGGCAAAATATGTTAATCGATGTGAAATTTTGTTTTAGTTATCAATAACAAAAAAAATTTCTTTTATTCCCTATTTTTGTTTAACAAAACATACATGAACGAAACAGAACAAAAATGGATGTAACAGACATTCGTTTCACTGATTATTTCGTAAACATATTTCGTTTTGTACGTATGCAAAATCGCTCTTTTCTTTTTTCTTCGTCTATCAAAGTCTTCATTTTAATGCATTAAAGCCATTTCGCTTCTTTTTTATCGCCTACACAAGTAATGAAATGGCAGTAACTGTTTGAGTAGATTGTGTCACAGCAACAATTGCACACAACAATAAGTAATTTAAACATCAAGAATTCTTTCAAGTCTAAGCTTATATTGAAATTTTGTTTCTTTGTTAAAGAATATATTATTATTAATGGTGTAAGATAAAAAAAGAATTTATTAATAAATGAGAATTAAATGATTATTTATATTGATTTTTTTTTTCTTTAGAACAATACGAACACAACCAACTGGAGATGTTTGGGCATTTGAAAATGAATGGAGTAATGGAATATGTGGTTGTTGTACCGATCTTGGAACTTGTATAAAAGAAAAAAAAATCGATAACAGACGTAATAAAAATATGTTGTCTGTTGTTTCTTTTTTTTAAGGTTGTTTTGCTTATTGGTGTTGTCCATGTTTTATGTGTAAATTACATGCACGAACTAATGAATGTTTATGTACTGGATGTTTACCGGGAGGTAAATTCATTGAATTTAAAAAGAAAATTTATCTGTTTTATCTTTGTTTATAGCAAATACGGGATTGAGAACGAAAATTCGAACAGGTTTTCGAATTCGGGTATAAAAAAAAAAAAAAAGAAATAATAATAAAATTCTTTCAAAATATAAATAATTTATTGTTTGAAAATTTTTATTTTTATAGGGAGCAGTATGTGGTGACACATGTGCAATGTGTTTTTGTCCATGTTGTTCTATTATACAAATGTATAATGAACTAGAATTTCAAGGACTATGATATACAGATACATGTAATTTTCTTTTTTCTTATAAATTAATAATAAATAAGTCTATGTATCGGTGAGCACATGATATTTTTATGCATGAATGATTTACCGATGAATAGAGTAAGCAAGAGAAAAAAAAAAGAATGACATCATCATATAATGCATTGACAGTTTGTGTATCTGTTAATAATGGCTTCGTTTTTTACTCCAAAAGGTTTATGGGAGCCTGATAGACTTGTATGTAAGTCAGGTCGTGTTGATTTTTTTATTCGACATCGACCATTTGTTTGGAGTCGAACATGTGCAGATTGGTATTCAAATTTAATTTCATCGAGATGGATATCTGTATTATCATTAATAATGGCAGTATTTTTACTTAGTTGGACATTTTTTGCTGTTGTTTGGTATATACTTGCTTTATATAATGGAGATTTTTTACCTGATCATCTACGTCCAAATACAAATCATCGTCCATGTCTTGTTAATGTTGGAAATAGTTTTTTAGCTTTTTTTCTTTTTTCATTAGAAACACAACATACAATTGGTTATGGATATAGACATGTTAATGATGAATGTAAAGCTGGAGTTATTTTATTAATGATTCAATCAGCTAGTGGTGCTTTAATAACAATTTATGTTGGTGGTATTGTTTTTAATAAATTAGCAAGACCAAAACAACGAATGAAAGTATTAACATTTAGTGAACGAGCAGTTGTTGCACCACGTGATGGACAATTATGTTTTATGTTTAAAGTTGGTGCGTTCTATGTTTATTAGTTTATTTAAAGTCAACAAACAAAAAAAATCATTTTGTATTTATTTATTTTTTTGTTGTAGGAAATAATATTGTTACTCAATTAACACGTCCTGCTATTCGAGTTATTTATTATAAATTACAACCAAAATCTTCAGGTGAAATAGTACCAATTGAAAATTTTGATATGCCTGTACATCCTTCAAATACAAATTTAATGTTATTATGTCCATTAGTTATTGAACATAAAATTGATCAATCATCACCACTTTATCCTGTATCACCAACAAAACTTTATAATTCAGATGGTAATGGTGCTGATGCATTTGAAATTGTTGTTATTATTGAAGGAACAATGGAAACAACTGGTGATGCATGTCAATATCGAACAAGTTATAAACCACGAGAAATTCTTTGGGGTTTTCGTTTTAAACAAACTAGTTTTACATTAGAAAATGGTAAAATTAATTTTGATATGACAACATTTGAAGAATTTGAACCAGTTAATATGGATGGATATGTAGGAATAGGTAAAGGACCAAAATTATTTGCACCAGATTTATCAAATAAAATTCATCCACGAAGAAAACGAAGAAAATTTACTTCGATAAATGAATCACCAATACGTGTTAATGCATAATTATTCTTTTTCGATTTCCTGAAAAATTTAATTTTTGTTTTAGAAAAAGAATTCATGTTAATGAGAGTTATAAAAAGATTTTACTAAAAAACTATTCTTTTTCTTTTTCTTTGAAATCATTGTTTTTTTTTAAAGTTTCGATTTATGTTGATATTTAAATAAATATAAAAACAATGTGAGCCTATGATAATTTATTTTTCACAACTAATGACGAGAGAATATTTTTAATCTATCAGTTGCTTTTGAAACGCAACTTACTGGATTATAAAGTATCGATCATTCTGATTCCGAATATGATCATAATAAATTCCCCTTAGGTTTTTATATGTTGGTTTTCTAGAGTAAGAAATTTTTTGCCACTCTAGAAAACCAGCATATGAAGACCTAATAGAATTTCTTATGGTCATATTCGATACCAGAATGGTCGATACCTCACAATACAATAGCTTTCGTTAAAAAAAAGCGATTGATCAGTTGAAAACTTTCCCATTGTGTGATCAGAGTACTCTGCTGACGGTACGTCGCAAGAACCTGTGGGGACTTAATGAATTTTTAGCATTGGACTGTAAAATGCTTCTAAATGCTTAACCAAGATCCTATGACATACTGGCAATTGGATACCATTAATTCAGTATATTCACTAGGGATAAGTGCACATACAATCTTTGATTGATTACTTGTTATCAACAAGTCATTGTAATTATTCCAACCAAAGAAATAAATCGGTCGATGCACAAGAAAATCATGCAAATCGGATTACTTTCATACATAATATTCAAAAAACACTGTTGAACATTGTTCTTAGAGCATGACATAACGTTAGGTGTATCCAAAAAGGTGATGAAATATTGAAGCGACAGTGAAACTTCATCAATCACTGTCTGTTCTTCTTTGTGTGCATAGTATACCTTAAGTTTATCCGTGCATGGCTGTGAGCTATTACTTGGTAGGTGTGGATGTAGAACGAGAGATCACCTATACCGACAAAAAAATATCAGACGAAAAGGTATAGCTCAGGGTTGAAAGTATCTGTGATAAAAAGATATCTGTTATAATTCTTATCGTTTTACAGAAAATGAAAATTTCCTGAAAAGTATTGCATTTCAAGACACTTCAAATACAGCTGAGTACTTATCCTAACAATGTCTATATTTTCAGAACAGATTTTCCGTTCGAGCTGGAGTTTTCAATTTCTTCATTACTTTACTAGATCTATCTACAGTAAAAAGTATCAACTACATTGATGACACCGACTGAGCCACATTAATCGCAGCTTATATGAAATGGTTCCTATGGATAGACCAAAAATTCAGTGAAGCAGTCATAACTTTTGATCAATTCGCTATAAGTCCGAACTCTTTTAGAAATTTTCTTACCTCAACATGTTGTATTGAACGAGATGTGAAAGAGCTAAAATGAAGTTGTGCATCTCGAGTATTTACCTTGTCAGTCATCCCATAGTTTATTCTTCGATGTTCAAATGTGTAGATACACATAAACCATTATCATTTTTAGGTTCAAATTTTATCTCTTTTGAAAATTTTTATAACACAATCAAGCTGTATCATTCACATACATTGGAGAAAAATGTTCGTACAATTCAAAAAGAAAACGTTTTTTTTTTTGCTAATAGGTAAAAGGTATTCAATCTCGAAATCTACATCGGAGTCAACTAAATGTCCTACTAGTTTTATGGGTTTTCAATTTATCATAATTCTTCTATTTAAGAATATTGACTATTATAAATTTTTGTCAAAAGTATTCTATGCAGATGTCATCGTACATTTATCTAAGCTGTTACATTTAGTACATCAAGCAAATATTCTTGAAAAAAAAAGTGAAAACAAACAGCAAGCATACACACATAGATAAGCATTATTTCTTGTCATAACAAGATTTATCATCTAAAGAGTGTTATAATAACAAATACATAAAACAAGAACGAAAAAAAAAAAAAGAAAAGAAAAGATGTGTCATGGAGAAGCATCAGCTAAAACAGGATTTAATTTTAAATTAATTTTGACTTGTTTTGTGACTCGTCGAGTAACAGGTAAATAAACCATACATGGTACAAATGTATGTGAAAATTTTGGATCTTCACTTTCAAGTAAAAATGGTTGTAAACCAGCATTTGTTTCTGTTAATGAATTAAAACGTTTTGTTGGTTTATTTTGATTATCAGTTGATGCTTGACTTAAACTTCTTTTACGTTTTAATTTATCATCATTACTATCAGTTTCATCTTCTAATTGTTCCGTATTAACAAGTGGTAAAAATGGATTTGAATTTTCATTTATAGCTGCTGCTCGTTGCATAAATTCAATTAATGTTTGATATGTTGGATCTGATGTATCATTATGTATTGTTTGCATATGAAATAAATATAAATATGTTGTTGAAAAATCTTTTTTACATAATGAACAATATGTATTTGAATTATCAATATTTTCATTAATTTGTTCTTGTGTTTCAGTACTTTTTATACCATGTACTTTTGCTAATATTAGAAAAAAAAATAACAACAACAACAACAATAATAAATATTTTGATTGAAAAGATTTTATTTTATTTAATAAATTTACCTTTATGAGTTTTAAGAAAATATTTATTACAAACTTGTTTATTACATATTTCACATACAACTCTATCAGCCATTTTAGCACAAAAATATGAATCATTAACAATTCCATATGGTGGTTGAGATGATTGACCAGTAACAATTTTTTGAGCTAGTTGACTACTTGTATCAACAAATGGTGATAAAAATCCAAGATTATTTGATGATATAATTGGAGAAGATGATGATACAATTTTTTCATTTTTTTCATTCGGATGAAATGTTTTCATATGCATACGATATAGAGATTTATTACGAAATTCTTGTTCACATATATTACAACGACGAATTGGTCGTTGACGAGATAATTTTGGTGATGATGATGATGATGATGATGTTGATTTAATATTTATATTTGGTGACGATGGAATAGGAAAAAGACTTTTAATATCTGATGGTCCAGGATAAAATGGATTTAATAAAAGTGTATTTGAATGATTTGATGGAGCTAAAAAATAAATTTCGAAGAAATTTTATCGAAAAAAATTTTTGTATTTTACTTTGAATAGATGGTGATGGTCGATTTGAAGTAGTTTTGACCGGAGTTTCATTGGTACTTTTTTGTAAAGATTTTATATAATCAGTATAAACACCATGACATTCACCTTTATGTTTCTATAAAATTATCATATTTAACATAATTCATTTGGAAAATATTGTAAGATAAAATAGTATTTTATATATTGTAAAAAGTATTTTTTGACCTCTTTTTTTTCTCCTTCAGGCTAGGTCATTATAGGACACCCTTACTAACGAATTGTTTATTTTCTCTTTTCAATAAACATTGGTATGTGAATTGAAATTCATTCATATGTTCGTTTGTGCTTCTGAATAAATAAGCTTATTAAAAGTCAGATAAGCTCTTCTGTTCTTTTCAATATATCTACATATACTCAACTATTAATACAACTACTCTTTTCTTCTTCTTCTTTTTCTTCGTCTTTCTTTTCAATATTTATATTAGAACATCGAAAAAATACCGATTCGCCTTAGATAAAGAATATAAAATATCTGAACAAAATTAAACATCACATTTCTAAACAAGCTAATCTCTACAAATATAGCAACACATTCAATCTATTAGTGTATATGTTTAATAATATTTTTTTTAATAGTTAAAAATAAAAATAAATAAATGTAATTTTAATTAACACTTACACGAAGATAATATTTATTACAAAAATGTTTTTGACAAATCTAAAAATTAAAAGAAAAAAAATCAAACAAGACAGAATTTTCAAAAAAAAAAATGTTTTATTTTCGTTCAACAAACCTCACAATAATCTTCACTTTTTTTTTCAACTGTTTTAGTATTATTATTATCATTATTATTATTATTATTAATATTATTAATAGGTGATGTTTGTTGACTACTAATTAAAGGTAATGGTTGTTCATTGGATAAACATGGCGATGATGGAGACAACGAAACATTACCATTATCATTATTTTCTGTTAATGATAATGGTGATACCATATTAAATCCGCCATGTTTTTTAACAAAATGTGTTTTAAGAAAATATTTATTACAAAATGAACGTTCACATAAATTACAATAGACTTCTTGTTGTTGTCGAAGATTGTTGTTATCATTATTATTATTATTATTATTATTTGAAATATATTCTTCTGGTGATGATTGATGACCATTAATTAAATCTATGTAATTAAGAATTTTAATAAAGATTTCTTATTGAATAAAAAACCGAAAAAAAAAATTTCTGTTTTTTTTTTACTTGTTGATTCATCGATAATTAACTCTTGTCGTTGAATTCCGTCATCATCACTTGTAACACTTGAAAAATAATAATAATAATAAATTCTTTTATTGTTGTTGTTGTTGTTTTTTTTTTATATATATTAATTAACTTACCGATTTGGCTTAATTTGTTTTCGTCGATTAGCTGATTTAAATAATTCATTATTCGTGATTTTATTATTAGATATAGATAAATCATTGATTTCATCTTCTTTTATTGTTGAATTATTGTCACCAATCATTATTGATTCTTCTTCTTTTAATCTATACGCGTCTTCAATGATGATCATCAAGCAAAAACAAAAAAAAAACCGATGAGATAAAGAACAGAGAAAAAAAATACATATATGTACAATAGAACAAGAGAGAGAAGATTTATTAGTTTTGTTCTATATGAGGATCAGAAAAAGAAAACTCTCTCTCTCTCTCTCTCTGTCTCTTTTGCAATCGTTTCTCATCTATTTATTAGTACCACTAGAAGCAAAACGCCAAGACGCCCATCTTCTTTTTTTTTTCTTTTTCTTTCGAAATCAAACAACCCCGTTGGCTCATCATCATTATCGTCTAACAGGCACGCGTTATGGTACTGCCCGATATTTTCATATGTATAAGGAAAAAGAAAACACGGATATTGAAGGAACAAACGGAAGTAACATACAGATCTAATTGAAAAATGAGAAAGAAAATGATCAACATCTGGTTTATTCTTCTTCTTGTTCTTTTATTTTTTTTGAAAAAGATCAAAAGGTCAAATTCTTGAAATTCTTCGATGATATTTTACCGACAAAAAAGAAAAAGAAGTCGTTAGTAGAAGAATAAATTAGGTTAAGATAAAGAAAATCATTTTATATAAAAGATCTTATCTATCTCGAGGAAATATCTTCAACATATGTAATAAATCAGATAATTTAAGTAGAAACAAATTTCTTTTTTTTTTTCTTTGCTTCTTAGCCAAAAAAACAAATAAATCTCAGTTTTTTTTCCCTCTTGAGATAATAATATTCCTTTCTTTTCCTATAATCATATCCATTGACATATCATTTCTTCAAATATCTCCCCATACGACTTGTATCATACACTCTGTGTGATGCAACAATGAATAAGATAGAAGAATAACGTATAGATATACACATTGCAGATGAAAATATTCTTTTTCCTTTCTATATGGATAAGACTAACATATAGCATGTCTCATTCGATGATACAAATAATAAATCTTGGAAAACAAGCAGCCACTCCAACAAAATGAAAACATAACATACAGAAGAAGGGGAAAAAAAAGGCTTACTCGGATGTTTATTTAAAGCAATCAGCCGAAATGATGATAGACAATGTTCGTTGAGTCTTCTGTTTTGCTGATAAATAATCGACTTTTAACGGTTCATATCTTGCTATTTGAGAATGATTAGAACAATATGGTAGCGGAAAAAGACAACCTTTTCTTTTTTAAATTAACTACTACTTCACATAAATATATATACATAATATGTATATATATATATATATGTGAATAAATTATATATTCATTTAAGAAAAGAAAAAAAAAAGGAAAGAATACAAATAATTCATTTCAATAAACGAATAATTTTTCAATTTGTATATATATCTATATATAGACATATTCTCGATCGATCTTTCTTTTTAAGCAATAAACATAATCAGAAGACTCCTTTTTTTTTGTATCTGATGCGAGTAACAGAACGAACGTTTCAATTTCCGTTTCTTGTTGTTTGCAGTCGACCAATAAACTATTATATATAAGATCAATTCACAATGTATGTGACAAAATAAAAGCAACGCCCGTCCTTCTTATTTTCTTTTATACAAAAGAGAACTATCAATATAAACAATATATTTTCTTTAAAGCTTGGAAAAAAATATAATTAAAACTCTCAAATGAAACACATATTGAAAAAACAAAACTAAGAGCGATGATAAGAATATTTGAAAACTTAATATCTTCTCTACATATTTTCTATATAAGAGTTAAGTTAATTATAATAAACAAATCTTAATATACATACGACACTTGACTTTCGTTTTGCTTAAATTCATTGTCGTATTATCTTTATTCTCATTGATTGTAAACGTACAGCAGGGCAAAAGACTATACACATATTTATATCAACGTTCTGGTTTTGAATATAAAAAAAAATGAATAGCAAGAAAAAAAAAAAAAAGACGATTATCGTCTACAAAATCGATAAATTTATTCTCTCTTTTTGTGCATAGAATAGTAAAAGAGCATGATTCAATTTCGATTCTTTCTTCTTTTTTTTTTCTCATTTCAAAATAAACACCATTTAGTTTCTCTTTTTTTTTACATAAATACATACCCGTATATGTCACCGAACGATATCGCATCTCCTGTTAGTTATTATTAATTTTTTTTCTTTTCTCCTTTTTTTTTTGTACACATCACGTTCGACGAACAAAAAAATCAAATAGTTTAATGCATACTTCATATAAATTTATAATTGGTAATGCTTATTTATTCTGGTATATATTTCAATTAACATATGGATTAATATTATAGTTAAAAACAATGTTTGACATCTCAAGTAAAATCGGTATATGTTTATTTGAATAACGAAAGAAAAAAAAATCTTGCCGATAACAGGTGCCATTTTGTTAGAGTGACACAAATATCAACGATTATACTAGAGAATGAATTTGACATTTTCGAAGTGAGAAAGAGAACGGCCTTTAATGGTTGATTTTTATTTTTTTTAAAAATAAATGAAAGAGACACCCAGTGATTATGTTGATATATATACTGAAATGTATTTTTCAACAGTATAGGTATTTAATCATATATAAACATGATTGGTGTTAAAAAGAAAATAAAAAATAGATTGAATCTCACAGTTTGATTTTATATACGATTTAATATTTTGAAAAGCAACAAGGACACAAATTAATATCAAGGCTTTTCATAACTCATTGTACTCATATAAGTTCAATACATCGCTTAAAGTGTTAGCACAATAGCGTTTGATTTCAAGAAATGCAATGACTTCGTCATATCTACCTAATATATCTTTAATATATTGATTTTCTTTCTATGCATGTCGTATAATAATAGTAAATGATAAAATGATTTAAGTTGAAACGAAGTGTGAGTATGGATTATTGACAAACAATTTATGTAGTTTGTCTAGAGTCTTTTTTTTGTGAATACAAAAAAAAAAAAAGAAGAAATTTTTCAATCCTTATTTACTCATTTTTTTGTCGTATGCAAAAAAAAAAAAGAAATTCTATAACATTTGCACTAGTGATAACAATAAAAATTATTATTTTCAACGAAGTATACTTTAAACTATTGAAATAAAAATATACATACAGTTATCAATATTTTCATGACAAACAAATGTATATATTTCTCATGAAAAAAAAATTAAACGAATGATCTAATTATGAATATTATTGTAATTTTTGAAAATATAAAATGTTTTTTGTATTATTATCAATATAACTCATTTGCTCAGACTTTATCTTTATAATATTATCTATATATGCATGTGTCATGATCGTTATCTTGCCTTGTTTTAAGGTAGGTGATGTTTCGATAGTGATATTGTATTCTTTTCCAACAAAAACATCTCATATACCATGATGCGTCTTTCGTGTGGTGTCCAAATTTCACGTATAGTTTTGCTTGTTTTAAATATTTTATTTATTCTATTTGGTTTTGCATTATTGGGCTTTGGTATTTATCTTAAAGTAAGCAAAAAATTTGATGTTGCATTATCAGATCATATTAGTGCACAAATTATTGGTGGAGATGCTATTGAAGTTGTTGGAATAATCTTGATTATTACCGGTATTTTTACAGTAATTTTATCTGTATTCGGTTGTTTAGGTATGAGAAGAAGAAAAAAAAGTGATAATTATATTTCAAAATAAAATTATTTTTATTTTTATTTTTAAGGTGCTTTATTCAAAAATCGGCTCTTTCTCTATTTATATGCAATAATTCTTAGTATTTTAATGATTTTAGAATTAGCTGTATTTATTACAACAATGAGTTCTCGTGTTCGTGTACGTAATAGTTATGAATCTGGTCTTTGGAAAGTATTTAGTAATGCATATGATAGTCATCAACAAGATCTCATTAAATCCGTAGAAGATTTAGAACTAGAATTCAAATGTTGTGGTGTTACGGATGATAGTGATTATAAAAAAGTAAATTATACAGTTCCTGCATCATGTCATGAAGATCAATTATTCTCTAAACCTATATTTGAAAAAGGTTGTGCTGATGCAATTATTGATTGGATATGGGATGAATTACCAATAATCGGTGGTATCGTAGGTACTATAATACTTATTGAAATTTTTGGAGTTATCTCTTCGGTTGCATTGGCTGTTGCTATTTCACATTATTCATATGGAGAACTTTATGCAAAGTTATAATTTGACTAAAATACAAAAAGAAATTTTTTTTTGCTTCAGTTGTTATTCATAAGAATATATTTAATTGTTTTATATATTAATAATAAAATTGATACTCGTAATGATCTATTTGATTAAGTATAAAATTTATGCACTGTTGTGATAACTTGTAAGAAATACAAAAATGAAATTTTACATTGAAAACATGTATATGTTTTACTCATTTTTATAGATCCTAAAAGTTAATGATATACAACTTAAGATAATCCTTGAAAGATAAAATTTATATTCTGATTTTCGACGGAAGAATGAAGAAAAGGCAAAAAAGAAAGTGATTATTATGTAAAACTTTCAATTGACTTCAAATTTTCGTTTATTTCGATCATTTATGTTGATTTACTGCATGATTAGTAATCAAATATGAAAAATGAAATATAAGGTTAATAAGAATAAAGTTGCTTGTGACTCGTCTTTGTGCCTGCATGTTTATTCTACAAACTCTAATAGATACAAACTATACGATCAATACATAGTAGTATTTTCTTCCGATAGCTATATGATGAGCTTTGAGATCATAAATAAAATTTATAATTAATAGAATAAAGGATGCAACTATTGAGAAAAATTTGTCAGAATTTTATCACATGTTCAAAAAAATATCACTGAAGTTTCGAGATTTTTCTCAGATACGTAGGGTTACTGAAAAGTTTTGATTACATTTTAATAAATGTATAAAAAATAAAGAAATATTATTTAATTTTATCGAATGTTCACGATAGTTGCCATAATAATTTATCCAAAGTTCGATCTTTTATAAAAAAAATTTTTATGAGCTCTTTTGACAGCCAAATAAGCTAATCATAATTTCTTTGTCTGGTCGATTTCAAGAATTTGTTTTAAAATTCAAAGAAATTTTATGGTAGATTATATCAATTGCTTTCAAGTATTACCAGTGATGAGATATAGATTTATTTTAGATAGATTAATCGCAAGACATTTGATGGTCGCTGATTCAGTAAAGATGAATTGTTAAAAATTGCGGTTCATGTGAACAGATTTGAATTAAAATTTTGTTTAGTATATTCTTTAAATAAAATGTTCTTGCTTTTATACACAGTGTAGATAAACACAAGATTCTAGATCATAAGCATTATACAGAAAATTGTCGAAAGCCTTATGCTCATACAATTTGGAAATCAACAGAGTCATCCAGTACAAAAACTTAAAACTTGTTTATCCATAATTACCATTCTTGTACTCATTCAAGTTTTAATAGTTACTTAACAAAAAATAGGCATCAGTATAATATCACAGTCACTATATATCCCAGCCTTTGCACTATATGTTTTTTGTCTAAATGATCGTATCAAGTGTAATGTAACGGATTAAACAAAGAAAATAATTTTAACCTTTAATCAATCTTAGATGAATCTGAAACAAAAGAATCAGAATATCTGTTGATAAAAAGTGAACATATAATGGTTTAGTCTAGTTTCATCTACTAATTAAGATCAATTAGAGAAATTTCTCGATTGATCGACATAATTTTTTTGTCCCATTTTGTCAACAACTTCTTTCCTTTGACAGATCATATTTTAATAATTAAGCATTTAGCCGACAAGTGGAGGCGCAAATAACAGAGAACACCAAGAATCACTAATTTTGAGGGTGTGAATGTTGATCTTCTTTTAATTCACACCCACACCTTTGTTCACATTGTTGATTACATTCATATACAAGATGTTCAGTTTTTGACTTGAAAAGTGAAATTGAATCGAATACGAAATTTGTTCATCATCGTTATATGTAATTTATTAATTACTTTATATTCTTATTTCGATAATAGAAATTCAATTAGGCTCATATTTCGTTTAAAAAAAATATGCAAAGAAATGATGAAAATAATATTATTATATAAAGATTTATCACTCATTCTCAGAGAGATATACAGATTATTCATGCTTGGATTACAAATGTATTTAATCTAGTACATTATATTTTCACATCAAATAACCTTGGATGTTGAAATTATTCTGAATAGATAATCCTTGCATGTTGTTATGGTGAAATGAATATGATTTGATTATTATACGTCGATTTTTTGTTTCTTAAACAGTTCAATTTCTATCCAGATTTTTCCTACATTTTTATTAAATAAACTATACTCTAGTATCATAAGAAAAGTGTCATATGATACGAAAACATTTTGCTTGTGTAATTACGTCTGAAAAAAAATTATCAAAATGATTACTCATTTTGGATGTTTTATCTATCTTATATCATCACAGTCAACAATACTATTATCTCTTGCTATATGAAGGCGCATAAATCTCAAATTTTTGGACTTTTTTTCACAAAAACAAGAAAATATCAACCATGGTCCAACTTTCATGTGGTGTTCAATGCACACGTGCAGCATTATTTGCATTAAATATTCTTTTTCTTCTTGTTGGTTTTACTGTAATGGGTTTAGGTATATATATCAAAGTTAATGGAAATTTTAATGCTATCTCGGAAATTTATGGTGTATCAGAAGCACTGGGAAAAGAAGCAATGCAATGGATTGCAGTAGGCATGATCATTGTTGGTATATTTACTGCATGTTTAGCTGCATTTGGTTGTTTAGGTATATTATATAAAAAAAAGACAAAGTTGATGAATATAAAAATCCATTCTATTTAATTTATTTAGGTGCTATTTTACAAAATCGATGTTTTCTATATGCATATTCAGTATTTTTGTCACTAATTATATTCATGGAATTTGCTGCTGTAATTGTGACATTAGTATTTCGCAAGGATTTATGGAAAACATATGATTCTGGTTTTATGGAAATATTTCATCATGCTTATAGTCAAAATCAAACAGACACAATTAAAATTATTGAAAATTTAGAACATAAATTTAAATGTTGCGGTGTTGATGGTGCTTCTGATTATGCGAAATATGGTTATAAAATTCCTCAATCATGTTATATGGATCCATCAATCAAGTCAGTCCTTTATAGTCAAGGTTGTGCTCAAGCTGTTATTATTTGGATATGGAATAAATTACCAATTATAGCTGGAGTATTAGGAGCAATTCTATTTATTGAATTATTTGGTGTCATTTCATCAATTGTACTTGGTGTTGCCATATCTCATTCAGCCGATACCGCATACTATATTAAATTTTAAGGCTGAATTTTTGTCTTCTTGTCTTTTTTTTATTGAATAAATAACGATTAAAAAAAAACAAATATATTTTTTGACACTAAGAAATATGAAGTAGTTGTTGACATAAATGAAATAATTGCGTACTAAAATCAGTAATGCCTTCATAACCTGGAAAGTAATTAACATCAATAACAGCATAATCACCCGTTTTTCTGTCAATAATTATGTCAATACCAACAAGATTTAATTCAAATAAATTTTGTACAGTTTGAACAATTTTATTAATTAATGTATGATCAAAAGTTACTATTATTGATGGATCAGTCGACAAAAGTATATGATCAGCTTGAGAACTTGAAACTTCACTGGAATGGAATGATATGGTCTCTCGAGATGAATATGTATTAAGATTACGTATAGAATTTCTTTGTACTATATGATAATTATCTTGACCAACTAGATGAGACATTAAAAAACAAAAACAATCAATAAAGTCAAATTTCTTTTTCTTTATTTTGATTATTTTTTAAGAAAACTTACTAGCAAATACTTTAAAAAGAATACCATCATGATCAATAAATTGTTGTAAAACACAAGGTTTATCAATATCATTTAAATGTTGAACATCAAATATAATTTTCATATCATGTGATTTATCACCATGTGCTTGAATTGGTTTACACATAATAGGAAATGATATTTGATTATTGATTAACATTTTTTCTATCATTAATTTATTATCATCCTCTGTAACACGTATAAATGGTGGAACAACATAAAAATTTTTATTTGAATTTAATAATGAATATTGTTCATAACGATTTAATAATCTTGATATCGAATTAAACTCATCAAGAATTATTGTCGATGATTTTGGTAATAAACAAATTTTTTCCATGAGTAAATGTGATGATACATCATCTTCTAATTTATGAACAATTAATTGTGGTATACGAATATTTTGTCGGTCGAAATAATCATGTGTTAGTTCAACAGTATCAATATGAAATTGTTTACATCGAAGTAAAAATTGATCAAAACGAAGTTTAGAAAATTTCTTTCGTGAAAGATAGTAACCGATTAATGGATGTTGTTGTCGTTGTGAATGTAATAATGATGAAGACATGGTACTGCTCTTGCTGCCTTCCATGCCAAACGAAGAAAAAAAAATAAGAGGAACACAGACACAATACAAGAAAAAAGAAAACGAGCGCGTGCGCAGTGTACGTTTATAGGAGAAATCTTTGTATTACGAACATCGTCGCCGTTCGAGACCACGAGGAAAGAAAAGGAGGAAGAAAAATGTATATCTATCTAGGCAAAAGAATATATGAAATATTTCATATAAAAAAATAATAAAGTGAGAACCAAGTCATGATATGATCGATGACACAAATACACCGTCTATCACGTTAAAAATGCTAGAATAACAAAAAAAAAAATACACTACATATTAGTCACGTAGTCATCGCTTGGGGATAACAATTGTAACGACATATTATATCTTCAATCGAATGAAAAATAATTATTACTCGCGTAAAAACGCAATTTTTCGCTTGTTTTCTTTTTTGGTAATGAAAAATTATTTGATGAATAACGAAGAAAACAACTCATTAATCATCTATTAATTGCTATCGAATAGTCATCTATGTTTGGTCAGTTTGACATGGATGAGTATTTTTACTCCATCATATATGAACATCATTCATACACATAGAACATTTTTCAGATGTTTCAGACATGTTTTTTTGTCTGTATTCACGCAGTTTTTTTTTCTACTTACATTTAGTCGTACTAAAAATAACATCTATCTTTGTAAAATATATTGTTAAACTTATACCTTCATTATCCATTCAGATATAAAAGTTTTGCCGAAGTTACTTAACAGATACTTGCAAAAATAAGTCAGTTGAACAGTACAAACACAATAGTTTATTCTATCAATGACATTTTACAAATCATCAAATGCTATTTTCAATAAAATTTGACACTTATAATTTAGCGCTCTTTTTTTTTTATTCGTGTAGACAATTATATGCAAATAAATGCAGCGATGTGTTCTATATGTGCAAAATTATTGATATTGACATTATTTATAAAATGATATTCTAATAATAATTACTATGAAATTTTCATTATCGATCAGACTATCATCATATTTTTAACTCTTCTACCCAACAGAAGACTCCCATTAGTTAATTACGTTGTTACAAAATTGCAAATTTCATTAGAATATTTATGTCAAAATATACCTTGATTTCAAGGTTTTGGCCTGAAAAATCAAAAAAGACTGTGGTTAACATTATTTTCAGGCTATTAAAATTCTACAAATCTCTTTTCAAATTCTCAAAATTATTCTAGTTTTTTGAAAAAGTCTTTTAATTAAAAAAAAATGAGATACAATAGAATATTCCTTCTGCTAGAAAATTTGTACGCTTGGACATAATAGAAAATCCGGTAGTGTTCTATTTCGGAGAAGCATTTAGTTGTTTTTGCTTTATTAGCATCTGATTTTTCTTTATTAATTAATTTAAAATCTTTTATTTTCTTGTTATCTAATTGATGTAACATGAGAAACTGATGAGTTAGAATAAATATTTAAATGAATGATGACTGCAGAGAATTAAACTCTTCATAGAAATTCATAAATTATCTTACTATCATTTGATAGATTTTGGATAATAATTCATGTTATTTTTGACATCGAGGAGTATGTCAAAAAATCGAATTAGTTCCTCATTAATAACTGATTTTTAATAACTGATTAGAGAGATAAATTTTTTTCTGTTTTATCTTTCATATATCATGTTCTAATATTCTACTGAAATTCAATGACATTAAGTAAAAAGAGAATCCATTTACGTACATAAATTTTCAATGATTGAATTTATATTGATACAATGAAAAATAACAGAGTTTGATGTGTTAGGTGTATTTTTTGTATGAGAAGTCATTTCTGACAAAGAAAAAAAAACGCAATAAAATCTGTGATAAAAATGAACGAGAGAATAAAATTCAACGTCATATTTATTTTACGAATAGGAAATTATTTGACAACCTGTCACTTACTATTTGAAACGAAGATTTACCGTTGATATGTGCTTTCTATTTACTATAAATTTCTGTTGAACTACGAAATATAAATAATTGGATAAATATTAAAATAGTTCTTCATATTATCAAAAAGATATTCAAGTTATACTTCTAACAAATAATTCAAGACAAAGATTGATAAAAAAAAAAAAAAAAACTTATTAAATATCTCAAATAATATACATATCTGTAAATAATAGTAAGAATAAAAACCACATACCTATCAATAAATCGTAATTGTTAAAAGCTTAAGAAAAAAGATCGTTTAAATACTATTCAAAGTACAATAAATATGATTCATCAGCTATTTTTCATCATCAATAAAACATTCTGGAACAAATATATCAAACAATAGAAGTGACACATAAAATAGATGCAGATGTGTGATTAAAAAATACTATCGAAACGAACGATCACTCATGATGACAAACAAATCAAGATTTGTTTCTTCAAGGCTCATTTACAATACTGCACAGAATTTTTTCGACGATCTTGAAAGTTGAATCATTTTTTTCAAGGCTATTCTAAAAATAACTCGACACATTTAAACGAAAAGAGGAGAACACAGGCGACATTTTGATAAATAAAACTTTCGAAAAGCAAAGAGTCTATAATGTAATATGTTTATTTGATGAAAAACAACAGATAATATTCATTTTAGCTCTTTGTCATTTGTCTTTTCAAATGTCACATTCGAAACAACGTTACACAGTGACCTCTAAAAAATTGAAAATATCTTTTGTGAAACTTTAAGCTATCTACCATCTGGTGCAATATCTGACGATATTTCGTCAGTGATATTTGGCAAGAAATATGACTCATTATAGAAAAATGATAAGAAATAAAAATAAATATTGTCTTTCGTTTATCAAAAAATAAACAGATTACATTATATACAATTTGCTTTTAAGAAGTTTTAGTCATCAAAGTTTTACTCGTATTCTCCACTTTCCAGTCATATGATCTCAGTTCTTTTCTGAATAACTCTTAAAAAAATAACTCAGTTTAAAAGATCGTCCAGAAGATTTTGTTCAATAAAAACTGACTACTCTAAATTGTTATGTGTCAAATTCTACTATGACTCAACATTTACGAGTGAAATTTTTTTTAACATAGAAATTTATGAACAATCTGTATTTTTATATTTCTGTTAAAGTTACCTGTTCTATTAAATTATAATTTTATTAATATAAGAATATTTCCAATATCAATATAGAACTTTTCGGACCAGATACGGTCCATTATAAGTATAACGTCAATAACATTGTCTCTTTTGAGCTTCACATTGAATTTTAATCATAATAGGAAATCAATAAGACTTGTTTCTATCATAGATAATTTCAACAGAAATATTAAATAAGGATTATTCATATTTTTCTATGTTAGAAACAAGTCATATTGATTTACTATTATAGCGAAATTTTCCGTGGATATAGTTTGGACATTGATTGTAACTTTGACGCAAATCATCCATCAGAGATAGACGAAGTTGCTTGGCGCCCTTGTTTTAGCTTAAGTACTTCACATGCTTCTTTTTCTTGCTCGATGAACATGTTCTGAAAGCGTGAAATTGTGTCTTCGGTGTTATTTCAATATGCATAAAATCATGAGTTCGTGCAACATACGCACTATGGAGATTTACACAACGATGCATAGATGTGAAGTAGAGTACGGAACAGTTCTGTCTATCTTTAATGCCCATCCAAAGCCAGTTTAATGTGAGAGTTATGTTAAAACTAAAGTTGTCCAAAACATGTTGTCCAGTATTTTATGTAGGTGCATTGATTTATAATTAAATAATCGATAGAAGAGTTTCTTTTCTATTATTATTAGAGACAAATGCCAATCTGGTAAATCATTGCTATAGCTGAATTTTTAAAGAAATATTCCATTCTCTCCATCAATGCAAAAAATAATGATTGAAAACATTATTTATATGACTTAAAGTAGTTACTTAAGTTTTAAAACTTTTCTTCTTCAGGCTTGAACTTTTCCGGATATATTTGTTTTATTTGCTAATCGAAGACTTTTTCTATCATAATTTTCTACATTTGCAATTTGAACGTTTTCAAAAACAAGTAATCTTCCACTATTAACATTAATCTCTGAATTAACTTACACCTTTCATCATCACATTTGTGTTAGACTAATGTATTTTATCATCATGTACGTTTGACTACAATCAATATATCTATATTTTCGAGTTGAGAATTGATCTAATGAACATTTGCAGAGAATCTCGTCTTTTATTCATTTCAAATGATGTTGAAAGTATTTTGATCTCAAGTAACTTGATGACATTTTTATTTAATTTTACCGTTCATTAATTTTCTTTTAGAGAATAATTAACTGAAAATATTAAGGCGTCTTTTAACCCTTTACTCTCATAATGATTCCAGAAGAGTTATTAATGAAACATCTATTGACATAGAGTGTTTGCCTCTTTATAATGGGTCAATAGTATATCAGATCGACCAGCTGTGCTTCCTTGTGTGCAGAATAATTTGGCAACTCGAATTGCCATTGAGGAGAGGGTAGTGACATGAAAAATTCTATCTTCTATCTTTTGTGAGTAGCTTGTTGATTTCGCAAGAATACGATCTATGGTTTTTAATTCCATAAAATACGAAGAAACAAAAAAAAACCAATACATAAAAATATTTTCTTTCGTATTATAATACATGTGTTTCTGAAACAATTTTCTATGTAAATAACCTTTGTTCTTTTTTTCGAAGTAATTAAATCATCAAGGATATAATTATCGATTTATTATTCTTCAACTTTAAATATGATAAGATTTTAAACAATTAGGGTATAAGTTTGGTTTGAGGTTCTTCTGGTCTGACACCGACCCAAAACATTTATATAACAACATATGATGTTTATATTTATAAATCAGGGCAATCTGTTTACTTACGTATGCGTAAACATTAACAAGTATTACGTTTACATGTGAATTCCTAAATTTTTTTTTTCATGTCATCCCTTCTCAATGGCAACTGTAATAGCCATTTTGAAAATAGAGCGATGATACAAAATATTTTGTTTTTCCGATTGATAACTTTGGAAATTCTCTACACAAAATGTATAAGAAGTTTTTTAATATCGTGTCTTCTGTATTTTTCACAATGTTTCTAAAAATGACAACTTCAGTTATCAATGGGGGATAACAAATTAATTATATATTTCCGCATTATAGGTAAAATCTCTGTCTCATGCGTAGATAATATTATGTATACGTAGTTTTTTATTAATTCGTCCTCCTTCCTAAGAGTGACTTGCACTCTTCAATTTGTAGGAATATTATAATCGATATACTAATTCGTATCATCAAAGCAAATTCGATTAATGTGTTATATTTTATCAATTCTAATCACTGAAATTAGAATGCATCAATTTTAATATAATTTTCATCAATCAATGTACCATTTTTCGTGCTTCTGACTATTAAACACATCAAATTCATGAATTATTGTCTTGATTTTTTTTAATCCATGGGAATCCTAATCATATGGATGGAAATATATATGAAATAGGAAAAGAAGACTTGATCAACATTTTAACAGAAGAAATACAGGAAAAGTAAGAAAAAATGACATCTCGTAATTTCTATATGTATTCTTTAAAGTGAATTTGGCAATGGTTCAGGAAATGGAAATGGTAATAGCATCAAGAAAGGTCTCACGTAAAAATTCGAAGGTAATCCAGAATAGATCAATTTAGTTTCATTAGTTGTTGTTGTTGGTGCTAATGATGTTGTGGTTGTAGTCTAATAAAGAAAAATTAATTATATATTAAATAATTGAAAGATTTGATATATCATAGAATTTACTTCAATCAAATCTTCAATAGGTTTGGCATTAATCTTATGTTGAAAACCAATGGTGAAAAACAAAATAAGGCTTATTGTGAGTGTATATAATTGTGAGCCATGCATTTTGTGTGTATTTCACCTGGTTATAATCTATAAGAAAAAAATGAAACAAATACAGTCTTCTATTGAATCTAATCGTCTCCAGTATCTCTAATGTTGTTTTTCTTTCACATTACAATGCTCTTAAGAAAAAAGAAAAAGTTAGAAACTATGCCACTGAGGATAGTTTGTTTGTTTGACAGTTGATCCGTTGTAGTCTGAGTTAATTGAAGAGTAATGAGAGAAGAAAAGCAGATTTTTCTCTTATCCTTATTATTTTGCTAGCTTCTAAACCTTTGACAGTGAAGAAATTGAATATAATTACTTTCTTTTTTTTTATTTTTAGCATATTTAATGAAAGAAAATATGAGTATACGCAGAATTATCTAGAGCATTCTTAGGCTAAAGAGACCTGTTTATCTATTTGTTTGTAATATCTCAGAATGAATGAACGACCAATATATTATTTGTGCCAAAATCTTCATGATTTATGATATATTGTAAAATATGCTAAATGCATTTTTATTAATCTGATTGTATCCGAACATAAGAATCAATTTTCAATAAACAGATATTCGAAATTCTTATTTTTTTAAATCTGACAATGTTTTTCAAGTTCAATCATATTACAACCATGAGCAACATATTAACTACATCATGTAACTGTTGAATGAAAATTTATCATTTTACGCTAATTTTCTTCTGATTATTTTAATTTGTAAAGATAAAGGGAACGAGATGAAGATTTAGAAAAGGAAAAGAATAAAAAGAAAAACAAAGGCGTGCCACATAAATCCATCAAAAGAGAAAAGTGAAGGACAATAGAAAGAGATTTGTCACACAGCTGAACTACAAGAATAGAACAAAAATACGATGCATCGTTGTTCGATTATAAAAAATATACGAAAAGAACCGTATATCACGTCAAAAAAAACAACATTGATATTGTTTTTAAAATAAAATAAAATGGAGAAATATTAAGAAGTATCTATTAATTTTTTACAATATCTCGATAAGACTTGTTGATTTTCATGGAACTCAGCTGAATACACTTCTTCATTGTTTTTATTTATCGAAAGTCTTTCTGTCACTAAAATTCGTTTTCTACTTTTTCCAATAATGAATTTTACAAATGATTGATTTACTGTGTATTGTTGTTAAAGAAAAAAATTGCATTCATGTAAAATCTTGATTACTGATACCTTGCATTCTAGACGAATTCAATATCAATAATTACATGCTAAGACTTTTCGTCGCATGGACAAAATGTTGCAATATTTTCTGACATACTATATTTGTATAAGGGAAAATAACTATGTAAAATATGCTGTCGAATAATAAAAAAATCGACTAACAATTTAATTTCGCTCCTAGTGAACAGTAACTTCAAAAAGCAGAAATCAATTGTGCTAATAATTAAGTTTAATTCATAACAATTGACATGAAACAGTTTTTTCTCTGAAGTTATCATTGACAAAAATTAAAATGATATTATTATTCTATTTTTTATTTGTCGACAGTGTAATTTACAAAATTATTTTCTCTTATACAAATATATAGCATCAGGAGATATTGCAATATTTTGCCTCTAAAACATTTTGTCTTGGCAATGTTTTGCATATGCGACGAATTTTTTGGGTTGATTTGTCTACAACAATTTGCTCGCGACGAAATGTCAGGTCATTTAATAATTATATGGAAAGAATATTTGTTTTTTTTGTTTATATATTTCTCTTTCTTTAAGATTCATGAAAAAAATGACATATTTTATGTAAATTACGCCAAAAAGTAAAAAAGTCGTATTGCGTTTTTTCACAATTTATTTTTTTGAGAAATCTACTTGTTACGTATTTCTTATAAAATTGTCAAATAAGAAGTTCACTGATTGGTTTTTTTTCAATGAGGGCAAAATCGAATTTTTAATCAGAAAAGAATGACGAAAAAAAAAATCAATCTGCATCTATTTAAAGCAAGGTCTTGAAAGGTAGAATTAATCATATTCATACAAATTCCTTGTTTTGAAAACATTCAAAAGATATACAAAAGTATTTTTCATTTATCAAACAAGTCTATAAATCATCATTCAATATGAAAGTAAGTCAATGGAGTGATTGGTCATCCGAACCATGGCAAAATTTACAATAACAATTCTCAGTTAGTGACAAAACTATTCAACCGAATAATGATGCCTGGTCAAAAGAAAACGATGACAAAAGGTAAATATAATATTTTACTATGTTCATGTAATCTCTATATAATTAAATTCATTAGAAAAACAAATCAAACTAAAGGATCAGCATTGCGCTCATTACTCTATGGAATTCTTCTTGGTTCATTATTGACTGGTATTGCTTTAGCTGCGGTACTAACACTATGGTTAACATCAACACAATCCACAAGTATGCAAATGATACATTTTGTTTGTTTTTTCATACATTTCCTTGTATTCATATCTTGTAAGATAGAGTAAAAGTTTTTGTGTTAGAGAATCAAATACCTGACTTAGTTTCTCTCTCTTGCAATTATTTTTTTTACATCAAGGAAAAGAAATGGGAAAAGCACTACATCACATGTGATCAATGATTTTTCTCTTTTTCCTATCACAAAGTTGTAGTCTGATGAACTAGACTCTACGAGAAAAATAATACACCGTTTCTTTTTTTTGTTTCGTATATATATGATTCTTTCAACTCTCAGGCAACAATAAACATAT